GAAATATTTAGTATAGCGTGTGTTGCTTTTACATCCACCAGATGGTGCCGGAAACATTGAAATGGAATCATGAAATATTTAGTATAGCGTGTGTTGCTTTTACATCCACCAGATGGTGCCGGAAACATTGAAATGGAATCATGAAATATTTAGTATAGCGTGTGTTGCTTTTACATCCACCAGATGGTGCCGGAAACATTGAAATGGAATCATGAAATATTTAGTATAGCGTGTGTTGCTTTTACGTCCACCAGATGGCGGTGGAAACATTGAAATGGAATCATGAAATATTTAGTATGGTGTGTGTTGCTTTTATGTCCACCAGATGGCGGTGGTTTTCAAAAAAACATGATTTTACAAAAAATCATGTTTTTACCTGTCACAGATGTGACATCTATATAATATATGTATATAAAAACATTCGCGTATTCGAATGCAACATTGTGTCAAAATTTCAAAGCAATCAGTGAAGAACGGAGATTAGCGATTTTGAACAAACAACCATTACATTTTTATTTATATATAAGATATTTGTTTAAAAAGTTAAGCAAATTTGGAAGATGTCATTCACTGTGACTTTATCTTAAATCACACATGTTCTTGGATTTCTCAATATTAAAAACAGATGTTTGAAGGAAAGGAAAAGCGTCTAGAATTGATTTCTGAGTTACGCACCACACATGCACTTCAGGAAGATGGACAGTTGTTGAAGAAGGCTGAAAAACAAGTGACTTTGGCCTTACAACGGCAGCGGGATTTGCATGAACATAAGGTTTGGCTATAAATGGAGATAATTGATTTTATAGTAAATTATTTTTGCAAAATATATGCAACAGAAGTTGATGATGGCAACTTCCCATCTAGGGAAGAATACAATATTCAGGGCAGAGTTTTCAACCAATTTCAGTCTTTGGTGTTAATTAGAATAGTTAGAAGGTTGTGATGAGTGTTAGGGAAGTTCATTCCTATGGTACATCAATCTATAATTTTACATCCCTGGGAAATTGCTTGTTCTGTTCAGTCCAACATCAAAATTGAAATACTAAAAATAAATATTCTAGTGTTCTTCAATGTTGTTATGTGAATTAAAGAGCAAATGGCTATGAAATATTTGTAAAAACTACAATAAAACTAAGCTAAAACATTAAAAGGAAAAAAATGAAGCTAATGTTTAAACATCTCAGAATTATTCCCCAATTATTTTTTGTAGTGGCTTAGTTAGGTAAACTGAGCTGAGAAATCATTAGAGAACGTAGAGCATAACTATCAAATTCTCTAAATTTACAATATCTACTTTTTGTTGTCATATTGTTTAGCACCTCTGAGGAAAACTTTGGAAGCCAATTGTTATTTGTGAAAATATGTAAAGACTTATATTGTTCAGGAAAGCCTGGTTATTTTCATAATATCAGAACTAACATAATTTCAGTCCCCCCTCAGAGTGTCAGATTCTGGTGTCAGATTCAAGGCTTGGACATCAATCTCATTCAAAATGAGGTTGATAAATTTATGACTCACATTTTAGTATAATGTAGAGGGTTTTTTAAAACATTAGTTCTGATAAAATTATTGAAATGATAAACAAATTAAATAGGAATGAGATATTCCTGTACTCTCCTTAGATGTCTCTCATGGAAAAGCATTTGGCTCGTGTAGAAGGAAGAGTCCTTGTAAATATGTTGGATTTCCTCTCTAAAGAACTGATTCGACTACAGGATGAGCGGAGAATCCATGCTTTTGCTATGTTAGCAGAAAGGCAGCGCCGAATGCGGGAAGCAGAGGAAAGTGGACGTCGACAGGTGGAAGAGAGACGCAGACGTGAAGAGGATGAGATCTTTAGACAGGCAAGTGTGGGAAATACTATTAAATATGCTCAAGGGGGTTTAAGATAGGCCATGGCACAATTGAATTTGTTCAGATTACCTCACCAATATGCCTTAATCCTGTGTCTAGTATGTGCAGAGGTAATGTTTCTGTGAAGACAACAAGGAGGAAGTCAAACTGCTGAATGTGGACATAACTTACAGCTGAAGTAGCATTGTATTATCATCTTCATCTCACATCATCCAGTTTTCCACTAAATGCTTCTTTAGCCTCTTCATTGGAGGATTAAATCTGGCTCATGCTCTGCATTTCATCACAATAGTAGTGGGGTATTTCAGAGAGGGTGATTAAAGTACAATTACTTATTTACACAAGACCAATAGGAAACATTACAATAGTAAGATCAATAAGGAGGATTTACTTCATTTAGAGACCTAGGAGTTGTCAATGGGTTAGTGTTGAATGTAGGCCACCTGGGAAGACCTCTTGGCTAGGAAGAGAAGGCAAAAAATATCCCCCAAATGACAATTTACACGTATTATTATCAAGAAAAGTGTATGGAAATGTTTGTTTGTTTGTTTATTGGATTTATATTGCCACCATATTCTCCCATGGCAACTCAAAGCGGCTTACAAAATATAAAACCTTAAAACAATAAAAAGTAACAAAAAGAATCAAATAAATTAATGTAGTACAATATAACAAAATCTCATCCCACACTCTGTCCCAGTGACAGCAGATCACAAGAGCCATTTAATGGGCTATATTCTTGACATTCTTGACATCTTCCAGAACTTAACTCAAGGCAGAATTTACTATCCCATATTGAATATGTTGTACATTTTTAAACAATTAGCTCTAGAAACATTCATTAAAAGACTATTGAAAGGAACAGGAGTCTGATGTGGTAGATTATGTTCTCCATGTGTAGTATAAAAAGTGAGTGAAGCAGGACAATTCCAAAGAAAAAGAATAGTGAAAAATGATCCAAATAATAAATTATTCCTAATCTAAATATGCTTACAGCAGTGGGGAAAAATTCTGATTTCAGTTTTTTTCAGGTTGTTAAAGTACACCAAAAAACAGTTGATTCATATCTAGAAGACGTTATCTTGAACAGCATGGAGAATACAGCTGAAGAACAATCTAGGGAAGAGATTCAGAGAATAGCTCTAGAAATCAACAATATTGCTTATGAAATGGAAACACGGTATGTGCTCCTGAGGAAATAGCATTTATAAAGTGAACATAACAAAAGTGGTTGTGATACCATAATGACAGATCTTCTGGTCTAGAGCTAACTAATTGCATATAAATAAGATTTTTATAATAAACAAAATGAATGTTTTAACAATTTTTTCTATCTCTGTGTGTACAGTATGGGTATTCAAAAAAACAAAACAAAAAAAACCCAACCCCTGAATTTCAGACTCTTTGGGAAATCTCTCTTTGTGTTCATTTGTGCTCAATAATCTTTCTTTTCTTTTTTGAAAGTTCTTTTCTGAACTTTCAAATAATCTGTTCTATTAACTCACTCCTTGTGTGATTTGAAGTTAACAGGCTATCACCTGTACATTTTTAAAGTGATCTCCCTTCTCTCTTCATGGAAAATAATGTGATTCAGTTTCTTCCATTTTCCTGAAGCAATATTTTTTCTTTTCATTTTAATAATTGTGTATGAAGATGAGTTGTTACTGATCCTGTAATAGGATTGAAATAAATGTGGACCAAAGAATATTTCTTTTTCCAGATGCTTTTACCTGCGTTATTTGAACAGATGGTGAGGTTGTCTCATTGATTGGTACATGAATAACATACTCTTGGTATGAAAGAGAAACAAACTTTTTAAAAATGTCAAACATGTAACCATTTTCATTTATCTGATTTCCCCCCCTGTAGCCAGAGTAATTTACAGTCTGAAGAGATTGTGGCAGAGCTAGTTTATAGCTTCCTGATCCCTGAAGTGAAAAAAATGACCATTAAGGAGAAAGGTGAGGAAAAGAGCACCTTTTTACCTCTTGCTGTTAATTTGTATTCTGGCTGCTTTGTTCTATGCAATGCTTTATCTACTGAACAATTAATTCAAGGTAAGTAGATTATCAATAAACCTCCAGCAAATGATGGGTAACTTTGGTCCTTGATAAAACATGTTAACCAAAATAAATTTCGCAAAGAAACAGAATCTATTGGGTTCAGTCTGCCAATAATTGTGTAATGGGGTCTATAACTTAAAATTGTAGAGGTTTTTTTTTAATCTTTGCAATTGTACAACCAGGCTGTGTGCCAGTACAAAGCACAGATCATTTGGATCAAGGCAGGAATCCTTATTCCATCCCAGACAAATGGTTGTCTAATCTTTTCTTGAAAACCACCCGCAGTGGAACACCCACAATTTCAGGAGGCAAGCTGTTCCACTGATTAATTCTTTTCACCGTCGGGAAATTTCTCCTTACTTTCAGGTTGGATCTCTCTTTGATGAATTTTCACCAATTGCTTCTTGTGCTGCCCCCAAGTGTTAATGAGAATGGATCGACCCCCTTCTTTATGACAACCCCTCAAGTGTTGGAAGGCTGCCGTTAGGTCTCATTAGGCTAAACATGCCTAGTTCCCTTAACCATTCATTATACTATTTAGCCTCCAGGTCCCTTATCTTTGTTACTCCTCTTTGTACTCTAGGACCTCAGCATATGTTTTATGTCCAGAATTAAATGCAATATTCCAGGTGTGGTCTTACCAGTGCAGTATACCAGTGGTACTATCACTTCTCATGATCTTGATGGTATCTCTCGCTGTTGATGCAGCCTAGAACTGCATTGGCTTTTTTGGCAACTGCAGCACACTGCTGACTCATACTTAAATGGTGGTCCACTAGGACACCCACATCCCTCTCACAGGCACTACTGTTGAGCCAAGGACCACCTATTTTGTACTTGTGCATTTGTTTTTTTTCTGCCCAAGTTCAAGGACTTTGGAAATCATTAAGTTATGAAGTTAACTTTTATTTCTTTGGTCCTTGGTGCTAACCTTCATCTTGAGGAAATAATTGTAATTCCATATTATTGTGTTCATCTTCATTTTGAGGAAATACTTGTAATTCCATACAATTATTGGGAATTAGCTTTTAGTGATACTTGTTTACTGCATTTTGCATGCTTATCTCACCATTATATTCTATATTTCAGATGCCTAGGCTTGTGGTTCAATATAGAGAAATAATTTCTACTTCGTTAAGGGTCTGTTGGTACTTGTTTGATGAGAAAGAGCTAGTTATGTCACATCTCTTGCAGTAGAATGGCTGGCACATTCTAAAAAGTTGGGTGTCTATACTATCAGAACGTCATATTGCATTGAAATAGGTTTGGTTACAGTCCTGTGCTTTGGAAGATGGTTATCTTTATATGTGCATTTCTATGGAGAGGGCAGAAAAAAGGGTAACTGAATTTTTCCAAACCCATTCATTGTTGGTCTCTCTCTCTTTTTCCATTTTTTTCTCAAAACAGTGAGACAGGCTCAGAGAAAGCATATTCATGCCGCTCATCAGATTATCCATGGAAACACAGAGACAGCAGTAGAACAGCTCTTTTCCCCAGAGTTTCAACAGGCAAGCAGTGTAGATATTCCTCAGATCGGATTGCTTTCTGTTACACCTATTGGTCAAGATGTTGCTAAGCAGCAGGAAATCAAGCCACCAGACAGTCAAAACCAGAAAGATAAAATGTAGGAAGCCAGCCCTTGCATTGAATCTGCCAGGTCTCCTGAACAATGAAGCAAAAATATGGTATGTGTAGATGAAGGTTCTTTCTTGCATTGCCTCCTTGAGGATACTACAGTGTGTCTCTCTAGCGAGTGCCTTCCAGTCAGCAACATTGTCAATAAACTACTGCTGCTTTAACTTTGAAATAGATGCAGTTTGATTATATGTGTGTAATTCTGCAAGGAAATGCTTTGGGAAAAAGCAAATCTGTTCACCACACTTGGGGCACAGGGATGGGGGGAAATTCAGACTGATAGAAGTGTCTTGAATCATCCTCCCGTGGGCTGAAAGAAAATGAGCAGTTCTTCAGTTATGATCCTATGCTCCAGCCACTAGGATCATCATTTCATGGAAACCAATCCCATTGGATACCATATGTGCCATTCCCCTGGGTGGACAAATTGTGCTTGTAAAAATAAATAGGCTAACATAAATATTCTTAAGAAGGCAAAACCTATATGATATTTAAATCAACTCACATGTTCTTTTATCTTAAAATTTCAGCAGGTATGGGGATTCTGCCACTTTCAACTCAATTTCAAAAGCTTTCATGCAAGCAAACAGTGGAGACTTTGTAGGCTATGTAATTTGCAGTTGGCAAAAAGAAAGAAACGAGATAGCCAAGCTTCCTTTAGCAAACAACTCCCCACTAGACCAGCGGTTCTCAACCTGTGGGTCGCGACCCCTTTTGGGGTCGAAGAACCTTTTCACAGGGGTCGCTGAGGAGCCTCCCACGGAGAGGCTAGCGAGAAGCCAGCCCGAAGGAAAGGAGCGGCTCAGGTTCCCTGCGTGGCGGAAGCAGAGGTGTGGGGGGGTGGGGTGGGGTGGGGTGGGGAAAGTAAGAGCCGGAATGGAGGCTAGGAGGGAGAAGAGAGAGACACACGCAGCACAGAAGATGCTGGGAAAGCAGCTCACTCCGAGTGATGGAGGTTGATGGGCAGAGCTACGGAAGCCAAGAGATACCATTTCTGAGGTGTAGTACAAGGCGGGGAAAATAAAATAAAATAAACGTGGGATGCGCGTATGCTGAGATTCCCTATTAAGACTGTTACCCATGCTTAGCATGGGTGTCTTAATAGGCTTTGGCCCCTCTCCTGCGGCTCCCTGCTGACCCAATTGCGCAATCTGGTCTCCGCCCCGAGAAGGCATGAGCCTCTCACCTGCTTTTGCGATTCCGCATCATTCGCAGGCAACTCAGTGTTGAGAAGAGCTCCAGCCCTTTTTTGTGCTCATCTCTTGCACGCGCAAGCAAAATACCCTCCTGGGCCAGGATCAAGGTGGAGGAGACTACTCTCTTCTCACTGTCGCCACTGCGCAATGAGGTGAGTAACTATATGTGCAGCGCAGGAGACTCCTCAGCGCCAGACTCAGGTCAGCGCGAGCCGCGGTCCCCTTCATGTTGGCTCAGGAAGGAGGAGAATGGGGAGCAAGAGATGCAGCTGGTTGGGTGCAGGGAGGGAAGAGCTCCAGTTCTCCTGCGCTGCACATATAGTTACTCACCTCATTGCGCAGTGGCGACAGTGAGAAGAGAGTAGTCTCCTCCACCTTGATCCTGGCCCAGGAGGGTATTTTGCTTGCGCGTGCAAGAGATGAGCACAAAAAAGGGCTGGAGCTCTTCTCAACACTGAGTTGCCTGCGAATGATGCGGA